AAGGAGAAATTCGTGGTCACCGCAACACTTATGTTAGTGCTAAGCCAGGAGTAATTGTCCAAGCTCTCCAACGAGCAAAAGTAAAGAATCCGGTAATTAATATTGACGAAATTGAAAAAATGGGGGAAAGCAAATATCAGGGAAATCCTACTGCCGCTTTCCTAGAGATCTTTGACCCTGAGCAATTGAACGAGCGATCGAAGTTTTCCCCACTCCGGGCGGACCAACCAAACAAAGGACTTTGCCAAGATTTTTTTTAGCCTGTTTTTTGGCGGCCAAATGCTCGATAATCAATTCTTTCACTTTCTCCATTCCAAAATGTTTTTTGTCTAGTGCTTGTTTTATTTCGATTAAGTTCTTATTTTCAGTACTAACCTGATGCCAAGGAAAAGACATCACTTGTTCCACTCACTCTTCTCTACTTTCTTTCGTTTGACCACCAAAGGAGCTTCTTTTGATTTTTTCAATTTCTTTTTTTACTCTTTCTTTAACATAATCGGGAAATGGTTCGTTCTCCAAACGCGACGAATAATCAGTTATTTTTGATGAAAAATCAAGTCCAGAAAAGTCGGAAGAAAAAGAGTAAATACTTCCACCCAAACGCTCATTAATTTTTCTAATTTGTTTATTAGTGTTATGGTTACTAATTAAGATAATTGAAGTAGTGATAAAAAAACTGCCGAAAACTAGATAGTAAAGTTGATACTTTTTCCAATGACTTTTTTCTGGTCGGTAATAGTAATTACTCTTTTCCTTTTCGTTCTTACTGTTTTTGTCTTCACTATTTAAGTTCATTACTTTATTTTAATTTTTTCGGCTACTTGTCCTAGATTATATTTTAGTTCAGACTTAGTAGTTCAAATAAAACCTTTATTTTTTGCATACTTGGGAATGATATGAATATGTAGATGAAAAACACTTTGGGAAGCGATTTCATTCATATTACTGATAACATTAAATCCAGACGGTTGGAAGACTACTTGTAATCTATTAATAATATTTTTCATGAGCGGTAACAAATAATTTCAACTTTTCTCATTAATTTCGCTAATATTGGCAAAATGTTCTTTGGTAATAAGTAAGGTGTGACCATCACTGGCAGGATAAATATCTAAAATGGCTATTGCTCTTTCATTTTCGGCAATGATATCAGCCTTAATCTCTTTTTGGATAATTTTACAAAATAGACACTCCATAATTTATTTTTTTATTGAAAGGAAAGTTAAAATATTTTCTTTTATTTGAATTTATCCGGTCGAAGAATTTACTGACTTCTTTTTCTTTGTTTTTAAACATAACATGATTTATTTATACCACCTCTGCCCGATGATAAGGATAAAAATTTTAAGTATATGGATTGAAAAAATCTTTTTAAAGAAAAATGAATAATAATTAGTGGCTTAATAATATTATTGGCCCTTTTGCTTCTTATCATTTTTATAGTTTGAGAAAGAGAGGAAGTTGAGGAGAAAAAAGACGATAAAGGCTTTTTAATTTGTCCTATTCGTGGTATTTTGCGAGCCAGAAAATATGATGTCAGAGGTAATTATACGGAGGAATATCAAAGAATTAGATTGATTAAATATCTTTTACAAAAAGGCTATCCCAAAAGTCAGTTTATTATTGAATACGCGATACCAATTGGACATAAAGGACATAATACTCTTCGAGTTGATTTGGTAATCAAAGGTCAAAATGGATTTATCTGTGTGGCAGAGGTGAAAAAAGGTTATGCCAAAGAAAATATGAACTCGGCTATTAAACACCAATTGGTACCGGCGATGCGAATAGTTAATGCCAAGTATGGAGTTTATTTTGATGGTACCAGAAAAAGCCGCTTATTAACAAGAAATAATGACGGAACTCTTTCGATACGGGAATTTCCTTAATCTTTTTTAGAGGAGGATTTTTTTCTGACTATGAGAATTAAGGTAAAGGTGGCTAAAATAACTCCGCTCAGAACACCAATTATTAAGTTTGTGTTGTTATTTGGAGAAGCATTAATATTATTAATTTCCAATTCAGAGGACAAAAGGGATTGGTTGGGTTGGTTTTTTATCACTGACTTTATTTGTTTTAATTGTTGACTATTAACCTCCACTATTTTTTGTGTTTTATCGCTGTAAACAATTTTTAACTTATCGTTGTCCAAAGTAATAGAATAAATATTATTGGCTTGAAAATATTGTTTGATTTGATTTTTTTCTTTCTCATTTATTTGGTTATTTTGTCCAGAATTAGAACCAGCAAGCAGATTTTTATTTTTTTCAATTGGCTTTTCTTGTTTATCGCTTTTTTTATCTCTTTGGTAAAGATTACCATGGCAGTGTTTATGTTTGCTACCAGTGGGACAATCATGACGGCTTTTCTCATGATAACAAAGTATATTTCCACAACTATTGCAGTTAATATCACAATCATTATAGCGACCCGCTTGTTTTATTTTTTCTAATCGTTCTTCAACTTCAGTTAGATTTTGCTTGGTTAGCGAAATGTCTTTGTCTCTGGACTCATTTCAAGGAGTTTTCTTTAAACTTTCCAAATAAGTTAAATTATAGGTCATTTCAGTATGAATTTCTTCCAGAGCATTCCGGCATAATCATTTACTCTTTCTCAACTTTCCCCACTTTTTGGCTAATTTGGGAAAGTACATGTAATGTTCAAATCCTCTTTCTTTTTCCGAACTTCGGGCTGGACAATTATCTTCTTTCACGTGTTCAAAAAGTTTGTGAATCATGCTGAAAGTTTTGTTGTTGAAAACTGTGTAACGCCCTTGACTGATATCTTTATCCGAAAATAATTTATCACAACGTCAGCATTTGGTTCCTTGGGGAGGAACATTTGGAGTTAATTCTTGACCATTTTTTTGGCTTTTTTCTTCATAGCACTGCTTGGCTACTTGGTAATGTTCAGCACGTTTCTTTTTCTCCTTGTCGGTTCGCTCAATATCTCAAATGGAAAGTTGTGCCGGCTGGTCTTCTCTTTCATCTCGTAAAACAATTTGATAACCAAATTCGTCGTCAGTTTGACAATAATAATTGTTAGGCTTGTCATTACGAAAATGTTCGTTAACTGTTCCTTCCCCTTTGAAGTCAAAGGACATGAGGATGGCGGCTTTTTTGGTTAAAATTTCCCGCAGGAGTTTTTTTAATTCAGGTGACAATATTTTGTAGGATTTTTGTGTGTATCCTCTGATATCCATTGTGCCGTGCTTTTTTTCTCCGACTGTTTGTGGGGCATGATATTTTTCCTCTTCAAAAACATAATCTATTCCGGCTTGGAATTCTCGTATTTTATCTTCGATTGAACTATTTTTATTTATTAGACTAGTTGCCATATTAATTTTAAATTTTATGTCTTTTTTTTCTACCTATATATAATATAAATTATACTATTTTTTCCTTATTATATTTATTTTTATAATTTTTTAAGCACAACTCTTTTTTCTTTTTACCCAAATATTATTTTACATTATTTTTCTTTTTTAACTTTTTTAGTAAATTAAAACAAAGAACAATCGCGCCTAAGCTATAACCAAGCAGGCATAATCAAAGGGGAACATTATTTTTTTTTGGTAATTGTCGGATGGTTTCTTTAACTGACACTTCCTGAGACGTTTCTGCCTCATTTTTAGCAATTAAAGCCTTTAATTTTTGAACCTCTTGTTGGTGTTCTTTAATTAACTTTTCTAAATCCTCTTGTGAGTAAATGGCGGCGGACTTTTCCTTATCACTGTCACTGCTTTTTCTTTCGACTGATTTGTCTTCTTCTCTCAATTGTCCTGGCAGTTCATCTGTTTTTGTCTTATTTGAATTAGTATTAACCGCAAAAGTGGGTGGGTTTTTTAAGTTAGCAATTTCGGCTTGCAAGTCGGCTATCGATTTATCTTTGGCAGTTAATTGGTTGGTTAAATCGGTTAATTGTTGATTTTTTTGGCTGATTTTGAGATTTTGTTGGTTAATAGTATCATTGGCAGCATTCAATCGATTTTGGAGGTCGACTAATTCCTTATGTAAGTTTGTTAAATCTTGTTCTTTGGTCTGAATTTCTTGCTTGAGTTTGTTTGCCAACGATTTTTCCTTAATTTGGCTTTGGTTGGCAGCTTTTAGTTCATCAGTTAAAGACTTAGTAGTATTAGCCAAATTGTCTTCCAGATTTCTTATTTTGGTTTGATAACCCTGTTCGGCTTGGACTTTCTTTTCCAGTTTAGTTTTTAAATTTAGAATTTGTTGCTTTAATTTTGTCCTCTCTTCAACAGAAATTTTGGCTAATTTCTTGATTTGATTTTGTAAATTATTTATCTTCTGCTGACTTAATTGTTCGGCAGTGAAATTGGATTGTTCTAAGTCTCTTATTTTATCTAAAAGATTATTCCTTTCTTCCTCAGCTTCTTGTAAAGAATTAACCAGGACGGTGAGGTTGTTGGTAGTATTTTGTAGTTCCTTTTCTAACCCAGTGATAGTGTTTTTATAATTATTTTCTGACGCTGCTGCAATGGTTAATTTTTGTTCCAAATCGGTGATTTTATTAGTCAAATTATTTTTCTCTTGTTGCGAAGCATTAGTTAAAATTTCTATTTGCTGCTTCAAGTCGTCAATTTGTTGTTTGAACTCCTCCTCGTTAATTTTTTGGACGGATTGTAATTTTGATAATTGTTGTAATAAATCTTTTTTCTCTTTCTGAGAAGCGTTTTTCAAAGACTTTACTTCATCTTGTAAATCAGCAATAGTTTTGGTTAACCTTTGTAGTGAAATTTCTTTTTCCTCCTTTTTTTTAATATTTTCGGTTAATTTAGTTTGTAAGGATGATAATTGGTGGGTTAAATTTTCCTTGTCCTTTTTTGATTCAACTGATAAAGAATTAATATAATTATTTAAGTTATTTATTTTCTCTTGTAACTCACTTTCGCTGGTTAATTTAGCATTTTTTAAGTTTTCTATTTCTTGGTTAAGAGTATCCTTTTCCCCTTGACTAGTTTTTCGTAAAGAATTAATTTCCGCTACCAAAGAAGTGATTTGGTTATCGAGTTCTGCGCTTTTGTTCTTCAAATCCTCAACTAGGTTATTTCTCTCATTTAATTTCTGTTTAGTAGGCTAGTTCATTGGTAAGTTGTTGTTTAACTGTGTCAGAAAGAGTGGTGGAGTTTTGAAATTCCTGTTCCAAATCATTTATTTTTAGATCTAATTCTCGAATCCGTTTTTGATAAGCAGTTTCGGCAAGTAATTTTTCTTGTAATTTATTTTTTAAATCGTTTAGGGCGTTTTCCAAATTTTCTTTTTCCGTCCGGCTAGCATTTTCCAAGCTTTTTATCCTATTTTCTAATTCGGCTATTTTTTCAGTAAGTTGTTTTTCGTTGGTTAGTTTCTCGCTTTTGAGGCTAGTAATTTGTTGGATTAACTGTTCTTTTTCTTCCGCATTTAATTTTTTCAAATTCGATATTTGAGTATTAAAATCGTTGGTTTGTTCTTTTAGTTCTTGCTCTAATTCGTAATTTTCATTTTTCTCATTTTTCAATTCTTTAACCAAATAATCTATTTTTTGGCAAGCGGTGAGAAAACCTTCTTCGAGAGCACTGCTAGTTCCTTTCTCTTGTGCAAGTTCATAATTTAACCTTTCTAATTGTTGATTAGTTTCCTGATAAAGAGTGGTTAGTTCTTGGTGCTTTTTTAGTAATTCCCCTTTTTCTCGTTCTAATTCACTCATTTTTTCCTGATGATGATTCAATATAGTATACTGTTTGTCATTTCTGTCTGTTTCGACTTCTTCTAATTTTTGGTAGACCGCTGCAATTTCACTTTGGAGTTGAGTAATCTGTTCGTTCAATTCATCTTCTTTTAGTTGGCTAACTTCTAAAT